AGTCTGGGATTCTTCAATAACGGCCAATTTTTTCTCCCACAGCAACAACTGACTGGCCGCCAATAGATTACTCATCTACACACATGTATTAAATTCCTTTTGTGTTTCTATTACTGCCTGGACTTGAAAGAACTGACTCTGAAAAATACTACAGAACACTGAAAGTTTGGCAGAGCCAGTAAGAGATAAGCAAACAATAATGAGGCAAGGAGAAAGCACAAGACTCAGTGAATCAGAGGAAACACTCCATCCAATTGTTGTCTGGTCATCATCAAAAGTGAAGTAATGATCACAGCATGGTTTACATTTACATTTATTTACTGTAAATGACTGACTCAGAATGAAAAAATAACACAATACAATTAATGTAGTAATGACTTTTATTATCTCATACATGCTATCCATGGACTGGAGACAGATACTGATTTCCTTCCTGCAAGAATAGAGTTGATAGATACATGGCAGTGAAGAACAGTAAGAAAGCAGCCCTCAAAGGCATCAGGAAATTATAATGGTGTTTCGTGCAACAAAACATTGCATCCACAAGATGTCAGTGTGTGACAGTTAAGAACAGTCTCACATGGCGTTGGAGAGCAGTCTTGCATTTCTACATTTCAGTAAGTGGTAAAATTAAACACACTGAACACCTGGGCATCAGAAATTATTTTATATTGCAATATATTTAGTCTAATAATATAACATTGTTAACAGACTTGTAATACAGGAAAGGCACAGGTGTTAACCAATAACATTAATGAGCTAACATGCAATACCAGGACCCTGAAACTGAAGCAGATTGATATAATTTAGCCATCGTTAATCTTATTGTTTTCACATGCTTAAAATGCACATTACCTAAAATGCATCTTGTATAAAATCTGTTTTTAACAGCAGTAAAATGAGAGGTGTAATTATTAATAATTCGCCGCATTCCACTTTGAAAGCCCAGGTTTTGCGCACACTTGCATACTGTCATAGCTTACTGGGACATTAAAATGCATATGCTTTGACAAGTCTAAATGTCCCCTGTGAAAAAGGTTGATATCTTAGTAAGACATGCTGCACCACACCCACGGCCACGTCAGCGGTCTAAAACATCTTTTCCACTCAGCCAGGCTGTCACTTTAATTTGACCTTTTCATTCAACTTTACATTCAGTTTCAGTCACTAAACAAAAACTAAACAACCAACAAAATTTGATTGAGCATATAGTTTTATTAGCATTTGCTGCTATGTTTAAGTTTCACTCTAATTACTTTGTTTGTTTGTTTGTTTGTTTTATTCACCCCTTGTGTTTATTACATAGTTTGTCCAGCCGGCATAGGCCTACTGTTGGTCATTCTGAGGTCAGTTATGGTCACTCAGTTCTGCTTCAGTTTGTTTTTCATAATCGGAAACCTGTGTTGTGTGTTTTGCTGCTAATTAGACATCATTACCAAATATAAAGGTGTTTCTTATCAATGATGATACCCAGCTATATATCTCCTTTAAGCCTTGTAATAATAACAAGTTGACTGCACTCAACATGACTGACTGCCATAAAGAACTGAATGGCTTTGATAACAACTGTAAAATGACAACATTTTACAACTTCACACAGACAAGACTCAGGTCCTTATTAATGCTTTTGACACCATAGCTCCCATGATCCCTCAGCGTATTGGGTCACTTTCATCAACTGTAACGTCAAACCTCAGGAATCTTGGTGTTATGTTTGAACAATCTATTTACTTTGATTAATATATCAAATCTTTGACCCATTCTTTCATTTAGTGGTGCTAATTAGCAGAGTTTCAGGTGCGGGACCACACATCAAGCGCGTCATCGCCAGCATTTCCATAAATACCCACACGTCCTAAGTCCTCCCCTTCGCCCTCTTATCCTGCATCCCCCCCCCCCCTTTCTCTGTCCTGCCTCCTGGTCTCCTTCCTCCTCTCCATAGGTTTATAGGGGGTCCGTCGTGCCCGGGTGCTACGGCGGATTTCCCTATCGTAGCTTCCCCACAACGCTTTCTAATGTCTATTCAGCTACTGCAAGCTTCATACATCTTCTGTTCGTTACTCAATAAATCATTTAATCATACCTCTTGATTGTGGTCCTTGCTAGTGAAAGAAACACTGTCGGACAAAAACCTGTGCAGCAGGACAGTCTACAAATGGACCAGAACGCTGCTGCAAGTCTGTTAACCAGGTCTAGCAGGACAAGTCACATCACACCCATCCCGTGACATTGGCTCCCTCTCAGGTTCAGTTAAGGTGCTTGTTTTCACATATAGAGCACGGCATGGTCAGGCACCTGGGTATATTTCCAATAAGCTTCACCCAGAAATCACCACTAGGCCACTTAGGTCTTCAAACCAGGGCACACTTGCTTATATTTATTGATTGATTGATTATTATTTATTACTATATTAAATTGTTGCTTTTGTTATATTGTCTCTTATTATACATATATGGCTTTATGTTTTACTTTTGTAAAGCACTTTGTTCTGTCAAAGTTGCTATAATAAAAAAACTTCACTTACTTACCTAATGGTGAGTAAGTATGTGACAGGTGGTGGTGGCCCAACTCCAAATTTGCCCTGGGGTTTTTGTTTGTAACTCAGACTTTTACTTTCTCTGACTTTAGAAAGCACTTACCATAACCACATTAACCAACAGCTTTGACAGGCTATGTAGTACTCCCAATGACTAGTAAATTGAAATTGATGTGTAAAATTGGAGTTTGACTTCAGTATTGTGTCTCTATTTCCCGAGGTTGCTTCTTTTCGTATAGCACTGTGTTAAGTTTTTTTTGTGGAATTCTTTGTGGATGGTGTTGTAAGGTGTTGCATATTGAAAAGCTCTGACAAAAAATTTTGATTTTGGAATATACATAAAATAAATGACTTGACTGTATCATAAGAGCAGCAAGCTGAAATGGTGCACATTATCATGGTTCTTATTCACTGTCCTTTTTCTACTTATATGAAAACAATTAATAAAAAGAGATGACGCCTATCTAAAAATGACTGTAGAAATTACAGTAAAATAAAAAACTTGAAATCTGATTAACTGTTACTTAAAGGAGGACATTATACCTGTCTTTTAAAAACATCAAATGATAGAAATGGAGGCCTGCACTGTATCAAAGTAGTGTGATGTGGAATGAATTACAACTCTATGGTAGATTCAGATAACCTGATAAATGTTCTTCTGTTAGGAATGGTTACCCTTGTGTTGAATCTCATGACTCTGATTTGTCTCAGCCAGTCAATGAGTAGCCACACTCACTGCACATGACATTCATTATGACAAATGTAATTGAATGAGATGAGGGACCATGCAAAACCTGAGGACATGCACATGTGAAATTAAGAGTGGAGTCCTCCCATCACTTTTGCAGGAGACACTAACCCTTTAATGCCATAGATTACATGATTTTAAGGTACTACAGCATCAGTGGTCTACATTCATCTCACCAATACATTCAGATCAGATGTATATACACTTACTAAAACTCAGTTTCCTCATTTGTTATCTTCATTGTGTGGGTGAGGGGTTTCCATTACCATGTGTTAGCAATGAATGCGAGTTTAAGTGGGGGACTTACTAGAGCCTCAGAGGACAGGCTAAGAGGATTTTCCATCTTAACGTCTCACCAACTGTCACAAACAGTCAAGTCACCTGGAGGTGATCCCTTTGAGAAGAGTGACGGCCCCCCTGGTGTATATGTGTATGTGTGGAGGGGAATCCTTTTCACTCGCTAAAATGTCTGAAAGTTTCACACAAAACCAAAAAACAATGGATGAGTTGACACATTCCCCACATTACATACCACATGCACATCCCGCTAAAGGCCCAAGTTCACACTTTTCTGATGTCAAAAAGAACCAGTTTGGCTTGTGAAAGGAATGGAGCTGTTTGTAAGAATATGGTGCAGATCATAAGGGATATTCTTTAGAAAACAAAATGCTTAGAAAAATCATTTTGCGTGATTATGTCACACTCACACGCAGTGTTAAGGTACATGTTGTGTTAGACTTAGGGTCTAACCTCGGCCTCTGACTATTTTCAGGAAGTGGAGTGGTTCCGCCAGAGCTTATTTTCATGCAAACTTGTTTTGTTTAGCCCCAGTTTTACTTACCTATAGATTAGAAACTGTTTATGTGTGGCCTACACAAAGCATAAGAAGAAATACAAATTCACACCCGCAGATCCTAGTGTGAGGAGTTAACTTTGTCAAGTCTGCACTTGTAGAAGACAGTCTCTTTGCGCCAAATGTTTCCAGAAATACTATGTTTGCTGTATGTATTTGGTTTTAGAAGATCCCAGTGAGACAAATAAAAATAACACCACAGAGATGAACTTGCTGTTTGGACTGTCAAAACATGTTGCTCTCTTTGTAAAGCTCGTCTCTAGTCCTGCTCGTTCTAATTCTGAAATCCTCTTTGCAAAAGTGCCACTGATAGAAAGCAGGATTAAACCATCGAGGAGAGGCAGCAAGATACAGAGAGAGCTTCATGGAGCACTCAGCAGGACAATACCACTCACTCCATTCAGGTTGTAGAAAACGCTCAGGGCAATAACTGCTTTATCCCATATGTAAGTACTTAAAAGGGCTGTACAGCGCTCACCTACCCTTTCCACAACCCTCTGCCTTCATGACAGAAAATCTCATCCAATATTTCAAAGACATCGACAACAGCCTCTCCACAACAACGCCCTGCTGCTGGCATCATTTCCACAGCGACACCCTCTCAGTGGGAGAATCTCCTAGGTGACGCCCTCTATTGACACGCCTAGAGGTGGCTGGTGCCTTTTTGTAGGCAGGTGCATCCTGTGCAGAGGCATACAGAGTTGCCTGACACAGGTCTTTTTTTTTTTTTCTCTCTATGGGAACAACTTTGCACCTCTATATCCAGTCTGGAAGACAGCAGCAGAGTAAATAGAGCAGACACTGGAATTCAGATAAGAATATTTAGAAACAAATTAAGTTTTGACCCAACCTTCAGCTGTTGGATATTTTCCTTAAAGTTTAAAGCTGGAAAGGAAGGCTAAAGGGCTAGTGAATTCAGAGACTCCCCTTTGACGGACGATGGAGGGATATGGTTATGAGCACTTTGGTGCAGATGGAGCGAGGAAGAGCCCACAGGTGGATTATCGGAGAATTGTGGGAGACACTCAGCTCCCACATACTAATGTTTCATCCCGGGAAGGTGAACATTATGTCCGACAAACCTCCCATGGACATGAAACTGCAGCCCAGCGATACAGCGCCACACGCATCCAGGCCGGTCTAGGCCCAGAGAGGTGAGTTACTGGAAAAGTATATGGAGAATAAGCCACCTTTAGGTATAACTCAAGCAGTGTTTAGATTAAAATACATCCATTTGTTTTATCTTCACAGAATGTTATTGCACATTTGCCTCCAGTAGAATTAATTTCTGTGCGAGAGTTCTGCAGAAATGTTGAATAAAAGGTCAAAAACCTTTTCCAAGATTGAAAGATAGAGGATTGTGTTTGATTTTAAAGAGACATGCTCAAGTGCAAAAGCAAGACTTTTAATGGACTCTGCAGAAATAGAAGAATGCCACAATAATTTCAACCCTCATTGTCAATATTCAATGTGAAATAAAATTACAATGTGATGTCAGTCCTCTAGCTTTTGGGCTTTACTCTCCCCGGTTGTGCCTTCATAAGGTTGCATATGTAAATTAACTTCATGCAGTCGGGTCAGTTTACATGTCCACACACACTTGTATTTAGATCAGTTTGCAAATGCCCTTGAAGTTGAATCCCTTGCTTTGGATGATACACTTCATTTTTGAGTTGTTTGAAGGCCCTGTGGATAATGTGTTTGGATTATGAGCAGATACTAAAACAACAAACAATTGCTAGTTAACAGTTCCTATTTTTAACATGGCCCTTCTGTCTCTTGTGACAGTTCTGCAACACAACATCAAGGCAGGAGTGAGCAGCATGCTGCAGGGGGAGGATAAACAAGGCTGAATCAACTGCTCAGAATAGCTACAGTGCATAAAGGAACCACTGACCCATATCTGCAATGACCCACATTTAATTTGACACAAACACAGAGTGGGAAACACATCCCCCTGAGTCACCTTTGCAGACATATCTAACAACCTAAGATTAATATAGAACAAGAGAGGACTGTGAAGCATTTGGGTTACAGGGAAGACCATGTGGTTCTCTATTGTATTCAGTACCTGATATGTAAAGTCAGTAAAACATCTCTGCTAGAAGAAATTATGACATATGATGCCATCTTTAGCAGCACTATCACAAATCCTACACAATATTAGCAACACATTTGCCTGCTTCTGCATGGGCTGTGTATCAAATTGCAAGATTGTTTAAGGTAACTGCACACAGATGAAGACAGACTGCTGGACTTGGATAACTATAATAAATACAAAAATAGTAAAAATAGCTTTTGGTGTAGTTAAAGTCTTAAATGTGAGACTAATGATGTCTCTCCTTTTTTAGCAGCCGATACGGCAAAACAGTGATTTTCTGTCAGCATCTCATGCCAACAATTTATAATGCGGACAGCTCGATGACAATAGCAGCATGCTGACATTCTGTCAAGTGATGTGAACATGCATGTGTGTGCGCTGCATGCTGGAAAGTCTGTATGTGCGGTTTTATGTTATTGGTAATGCTTTTTACATGTATTCTTAAAATACCACTGCTCAATTAATAAAACGTTACCCATTAGATTTCACAATAATTAAATAGGCTTTAAAACATAGGTTCTCATTTTAACCCATGTCATTCTTATTGGTGGCTAAAATAGATCTTTCTCCTATACAGTTGAACTTGCTTTTGTTTCCTACACAACACTTGAAATAGCTATAATACTAGGATGCACAATTTATGAGGCAAGTCCTCCTCAAATGCCGTTTCTCATGGCCCAGGGTGCTAAAAAGAAAGTCACAATAATTCAACTTACAAGACAAGACACCATACAACACAACACAGTAACTGAAACTAGACAAGACAAAGCTGATCTATTACTGTAAGGGGGACTGGAGCATTATAAAGTGTGTAGTGGAACAGAAGTCGGTATTGGAACTAAAAAGAGACAGTGAATTTGATCAACATCAAGATTTTGTGTTCCTTAACATAAGAATAAGGAATGATATGTGAAAAGTATTTTACTTAAGAGGGCACATGCAGCCTGAGCTACAGTATGTTACATGTGGCTTTTCAGCACACCTCTTACAACTGTTATGTGAATAAAATGTGGTTGGTGCTGGCTTTTCACACTTAATCCAGTTTACATGATTTACATGTGACCATAATTGACAGTGCAGTCCAAGTTAAGGAAAATTAAGGCGTAAAAGTTTTGATTTTGGGAAGGCGATCGATGCACACGTGCATTTGACAATAGGTCTGAGCAAGCTGCTTAGTCACATGATTTCCTATTTCAAAGTGTTAAAATTCATGGCCATACGCTGTCAGGGATTACCAATCAACCCTGTACACTGACCTAACTCTGACAAACATATGTTTAGCAAACAACATGAGGATGTATTACAATAAACACATCAATAAACTAGTGACTAAATGAAAAGATAAACTGAAACTGCCAAAGCAGAGTGATAAAGGAAGAACTCAGATCCTTTACTTTAGTCAGATCAGCAAAGCCTCAGTCCAAACAAAAGTACTCCATCACAAGTAAAAGTCTTGTATTCAAAATGTTACTTGAGTAAAAGTACCTTACTATTATCAACAGAATGTACTTAAAATATCTGAAGTACTCATTATGCAGCAATATGGCCCCTCTCAGTGTTGTGTTATTTATTATAATACTGGATTACTATTATAGTTTAACATATGAGCAGTATTTTAATGTGGCTGTTGGGTAAATATGTGACAAAGCATATTACTTTATAAAGTATCTGGTGCTCAGAAGAAACTATCTGGTGCGCAAGAGATACCATCTGGTACGGGATAGTTCCTCAAGATACTTTCTGGTGCTCAGGAGAATTTTTTATTTTTATTTTGCCCATGTCCCCTTAGGGGCTTTGAGAATGGAAAATCTTAATATGGAAAATACATAATTGAAACTTAATATGTGTAGTGGAGTGAAACCACAATATTTCCATTTTGAAATGTAGTTTAGGGATAAAGAAGCATTGTGTAAGGAATCGAGTAAAGTAGTCTACCTCAAAACTGTTACCTAAGTACAGTACAGTGACCTTTCATCTCTGCCTAGCAGCTTTCAAAACTACCAACGCTAAAATTATTTAGAATCAAAGTGGAGTAAGAGTAATTAGAGTATTTATGTCCAAGCATGGCCCATGAACGCGAATCCCTCTTGTTGCAACCCTTTCGTTCCACTATTGGTGCTGATTTCACAGTTGCAAAACGCAGAGGGATAAACACGCCTCTGTGATGAGAGGGGATGTGGCGCTGCTAGTACATAACACCAACACGCATTGGGTCTGTCTGCTGCGACAGGCGAGCACTTCTGATTGACTTTACTGTTTCCCTGACTCTCACATCTTGGAGCCACGGAAGACCATTTTTTTCATCGAGGTAGAAGGAATCGCTGTGCCTACTATCGCTTTTTTTTAGCCTGATTTCTGTGTAGCATCACAGCTGGAAAGTTGCTTCCCTTTACTCAACGTGGGCATCAGCTCAATAAGGTAGTTAGCTAGCTAATGGTAACGTTATTATTCTGTCTAGGAAAATGTGTTGGGAGTTCACGCTGGCTAAGAAGCTACGTAGTTTAAAACACTTTATTAACGTTACCTGTTTAAAGATGGAGAACCTTGCTTTAAAGTGTCGGAGGCGTTTTCCGTAGGTGAAGCCAACACAATGAAGTCGCTAATGCTAAATGCTAACGGTTGCTTCCACATGTCTGCAAGTGTAACGTCAACGTAGTCTGGACGCAGCTCATGTCTGTTCTGCCAAAAGTTCAGTCTCCTGCACAATAATGGATAATTAATAACGTTACATCAGTAGTAATTGGGACATTTTTATAGTATCGTTAATGTGGTGGAGTGTAACGTTACCTAAGTTGTATATTTATGCTGATATGCATTTTAATGAGTTAACGTTAGCTTAACATCCAAATTGTAGTTAACGTTATAACTTAGTAACATTAGCAACATTATGTAAGTTAGCGTTCACAGCTATGAAAATATAAGCGACTGCTTAAATGAGACACAACGCGGAACTTTAACGTTATATTTGGTAACGTGTGTATTCTTTGTGTGCACTTTGACTAATGTAACTTAAGTTAAATGATTTAACGTTACACGAGGTCTTACTTAACTTGCCTGTTATCGTTAAGCTAAATTAACTACATCACTGTTTGTTAATAGTTTAAGTACCAGCCGTATTGCCAGATGGTATTTCCAATCCTCCAAACGGCTTGCTAATATTACAGGTAACGTTAATTATTCTTGCCCATAACCTAACGTTAGGCGAATAGCGTTAATGGTCAAACTGGTTGTTGTGGTGACTGTATTATGTAAACAGACATTTTGTAACTTAGTGTTTCGTGTGGTTAAATTATAAACATGTTCATTTTATGGTACTAAAGTTACTGGGAAGCATTCATGAAAATGCTGGATAAAACGTCAGTCACATCTAGCATGGAGCCTGGAGGCAACACCAAACTCCCTTCAAAATTCTGCCAAAATAGTGTTGCCCCTGTTCTCAAAACGGCGTTATACAGGGAATAAACATATTTTGGCTCATATACAGTATGAAAGGAGCCTCTCCTCAAATCGGCGTGTATTGAACTCTCAAAAGATAAGTTATTGTTATAAAATGTCAATTTTTACTGTTGTGCTGCTTTGTTGAAATGCCGGTTTCTAAATCGGTGATGGTTGGCCGGGAATGGACTGAGGAGAAAGAAAGATGCGGCCTAACATGGATGCTAGCATGGTCAATGTAACACGGATCAGTAGCAGCAAGGATGCTGCTTTATCGCTTTACTGTATAAACAATAAAGACAGTTCTGAAGTAACGTTAGCTTATTTTTAGCACTACGGGTGTGATGTGCAAGCAAGCTACTGTTTGCTAGCTACTGATATTGTAATGTAGGTCACCAGGCCAGTAACTTTACGGCTTAAGTCGGCTCAGTAAGCTGAGAATATTGTGTTATTATTTGGACTCCTTTTTCATTTTAGATGCTTTTACGTGATTCACCTTTTTAAAATTGAAAGCGTGTAGTAATGGTTCAGTTAAATGTTAGTGAGTCACCCTGCCAAATTTTGCTTCACATGCGGTCGTCCGGGGTGAAGTTTGACATTCGGTTTTCTGTTAACGTTTCAGTAGCTCCTTGTCAAAGCCTAGATTTCTCCCAGATTTGGTATATGTTTGAGCTTTGCTTTGATCAACTCAAAGTCACCATAAATGATGCAGTTGAGAGCACACACAAATTAATTTCTGTCCAATCGCCTGCCACTATAGGCGGGGATAGGGACCATCTTAAAAGTGCAATAAGATCTATTTCAATCTTTAATAACTTTTGTTTTGTTTTTCAACGTAAAAATTTCAAAACACTGCCTTTCATAGAGAGTGATCACCATTAAACATCTCATACCTGTGAGTTTGTACAAACAAAAGAAGAACAACTATATTTCCTTAATTATGCCCATTTGCAAAGTAGTAATTTCAATAGTTTGCTCATTTATCTATATGTTGACATCAAACCAGCTCATGTGTCTTGGACATCTTGCAACTTTCACACCTGTCTGTTTGTGAAAAGCACTAAGGAAATTCCTTAAAACCTTTATCACTGACCTATTGCCTAAAATATGAATATTTGTGTTTAGGCAGTATGTCACTGATAATGGTGTTAAGGGATTTCCTGAGAAGGCCTCTAACTGTAGCGACAGGTGCATAGGACAGACATTCAGTTTTTTGCACTCTCAGCTGAATTGACATTTTTGGTGATTATCAGTGGATCAAAACTGTCTGCCTAAATTAGCTCTCCAACATATCCCAAAATTAGAAGAAATTGAGATGTTAACAGCCACGAAAACCGGCGAAAGTCAAATGTTAAACTAACTTCACCTTCGCATGCAGTCGTGTGGGGAAAGTTACAGCACTGTTGTCATTTGCTTTGTGCGCTCAATTTTATGTTTTAAAAAATAATAGTTCAGTGTTTTAGATGCAGAGACATGTGATCTGTCTACAGGTATTATCACCCTAACGTTGGACTAATACTGTGAATGTTCATTTCATGGTATGTATTTAATTTAATGAAGGTTAACCTTCGCATGCCTGAAAATGTTGGATATAACGTTAGTCAAAACTGGCATGAAACCTGACTTATGCCTAAAGGCAACTCCAAACTAACTTTAAAACTATTGTTTCCTCTTTTCTCAAAATGCGTTATATTGGGTAGAAAAATATTTTAGATCATATTAGTGCTGGGCAATGATTAATCGCATTGTTATGCGCAAAATTGAATAATGAATTCTAAAGTAGTGTATTGCGCAATTTTAATTTAAATGTACTGCTATATACACAAAAGTAGAATAAAATGTGGTTTGCAAACACTTTAAACAAATAAGGGCTTTTTTACCAGCAGGTTACCTTTAACACAGTAGCAATAAAATACTTATTGTAAATCTCAACTTACTAAACAGTTTATGTTCAGTAGCAAGTGTCTCTGTTAGAGTGAGATGAAGTGGTCGCATCACGCACACGCCCGCCCGCTGCCAAAGTTGAATTGTCTTGAACTTTTTGTACGTGCCGCGCAGTACAAATCAATTCTCGCTGTTTGTGAGTTTGCAGAATCTATTACTGTTTACTAAGTAGTAGGGCTGGGCATGTTACGTAACGCATGAATTAATTAACGCAGACAATTTTAGCGCACGTTAACACAGTTTATAGTATTATTGTTGTAATTGCAAATCACCCAACCAAACAAGCAGCGGAGAGAGGCCGACATCTTCCCCAATACTTATCAGCATGCAGTGTGTAGCTATCCACTAAAGCTATGGCATTTGTTGGCTTGTCTTGCTTTTGTATATCTACTTCTTCCACACGCTGCATCCAGCGTATTCTGCCGAAGCCTCCCTCCGCTGCTTGATTGGGTGGGTGATATGCAGGCTGATCAACATCCTACCCCTCCTGTGACCCATGCTTTGACTGTATGTGTATTCAGAGCCAGTGAGAAACAGACTTTCAAAATAATAATAATAACTGCGTTAACGTGCGATAAAATAATTGTCGGCGTTACTTAATTAATGCGTTACCGCAATAATTACGTGTTAAATTGCCCAGCCCTAGATCATATACTATCTAAATAGAGGCACTCGTCAATTCGGCATGCATTCGGCTCTCAAATGATCAGTTATTGTAATAAAATGGCAACTTTTACTGCTTGGTTGATATGTCAGTTTCTAAATCAGTGATGGTTTGCCAGGTATGGACTGAGGCAAGAGAGAGTTGTGGTCTAACATGGATACTAGCATGGATAATGGAGCATGAATGATCAGCAGCAAGGATGCTGTGTTGCTGCATTATAGCATAGTATTTAGCACTACAGGTGCAAGCAGCTAATGATAATTTGATGTAGGTCACCAGGCGAGTAACTAGACTTTACCGCTCAAGTCGAGAGAATATTGTGTATTTCTTGGGCCACCATATTTAACTAATATTTACGATCGGTCTTTGTTCCATGTGGTTAAATTATAAACGTTAGACCAGTACGTTCCGTTTGTTTCCCAGAACATCACAGTATGACTTCTATGACGAGTTTTTGTGACCTAATGTTACTTAATGGTAGTTTTGACTTGTAGTAAAATAATGTCTCTTTAAAAGTCTATAACTTTGTTACAAGTTTATTATTTGTTTATTAATGGACTGTTTTTGTAAACAGAGGAACCTGTTTTCATCTTGTACCTGCCACGCAGGCCACTGACTTAATGCTGCCTGGAGAATGTTGATGTTGTAGTGTTACAGTTGACTGAAGTTGCCTTTCCTTATCATTTTACAGCATGGCGGATTTCTTAATCAGTGGTGGTACAGGCTATGTCCCTGAAGATGGGCTCTCAGCTCAGCAGCTCTTCTCGATCGGAGATGGCCTTACATACAAGTAAGTTTCCCTGCATCACAAACTTTGATAAATAAGATTTTCGGACAAACATAAGTAATTAAATTTATTCAAAGTAAGGTATCCTAATTTTTGAAACCTCACCTTCGCGCAGTGGTGGTTGACATGTACGCAGCAGTGCTTTGTAATGGCCAACACATTTTGAACCAGCAGATCTGACCAACCGTGCGTTGTCTCCGATGGTCATACGGCTGAAGAGCTATGCTCTAAAGGAGATGGGTTGACTTACAAGTGAGTAAAACAGTCCTCTTCAAACTGTTTTGAAACTGTGCTTTTAAAAATCCTGTCCCTCCAAATAGTGAATTCATACGGAGGAAGCAAATTAACGCACCTTTAAAGCACCTTTACCTTGACTGAAACAAACCATGCCAAAATCTCAGTCTGGTGTCATGAAAGTGCATGATTGCAGAAGATAAATGGAAGGCTTGTTGCACTGATCAACCTGATCTTGGTCATGGGGATCAAATTTGCTTCCAGTAGACATAATTGCATTATTTACTTCAACTAATCATCATAGCGCACGACCCGTTCAGTGAATGCAGCATGCGCGATAGATCAGTTCACAGCCCCTTTTTTTTAAATTTTTTTTATTCTTCTTTCTTTTACAAATATTTAGCTTTGATAAAACTTAGAGATGCACCGATCGATCGGCTGGTAACTGGAATTGGCACAGTATCCCGGGTTGGTAAGTGTCGCATATCTGATCCTGTGCTGGTCAAATATACCTATATACTGCAACGTATGATGATTCACGTCATGCACACAGCAGCACAGACAGTAACTGACTATTGTCACAGCCTGACACATTAAAACTTGTCATCAGTATGCTCGCAATTGGTAATATCTAAGGCCAGAATAAGCCGCGTTTTCTCCACACAGACTTTACTCGGGCGGACTGCCTAGGGATATTAATGGTAGTCACAGTACGCTCTTTTTGGTGACCCATTTTATCACTTTGCAGAGAAACAAAGAGAGACACGTTTTCTGGTATTACGTTAGAAGACTCAGCGGATATATTACAAGCACGAGCAGAGAACACACCTGTTGGTGCCGATGTCATTCAGTTCCACATTGGTCTTGATCGTTTCGATAGGTGACATTAACAACTAGCCTCCTCCCCACACAACTCACCTGCATGTGGAGGAGTCCACAATTAATTCACCTTGTGAAAACGTAATTGTGGGTGAAAAAGTCCCAAATGCGAGTTGTGTCTTTTGGTTGACTTTATAAAACCTGATGAAGAGAGTCAACACAGCAGGCACATACAGGGAGGAAGGTGTGTGCATGTACTGTGCAAGTAGTTTGTGAGAAAACACTAAAATAAGGTGGAGAATTAAGTAGAATTGAAATGGTGAGGTAAGAAATTACCTACTTGAAAAGGATAGTATATTCTTTGAAATAAAATATACCACCACCAGCACCACAGTTAGACTGGGGAAACACTGAGTGTTATGTTGCAATTCATTTATAGTTAGATTTGTTAAAAAATGCTCTGCTCAGTATCCTAACCTGGATCACATGCAGTTATGGAGAAAATGTAAAAGTCATTTTATAGTCATTGTTTTATTATGAACTTACAATTAAGTGGAACCTTTAGGTCCGACTTTAAAGAAAAAAAAAATTAAATAAATAAGAAAGTGGAATCGGTGCATCTCTAATAAAACTACTGATTAAGCAATAATTTGTCACCTCTTAGTTAACTACAATCAGCTCTGGTAAGAATTCTGGTGGCAAACAAGTAATGCTTTGTATTTGAACTCATGGTGCATTTTAACAGAAATGTTTTTCTTTTGATTGCCCTTTTACATCTTTAATCATGAATAACAAGAAGCAAAGTTTTGTGCAACTGAATTGGAGTGGTTGTTGGACACTTACACGAAGCATGTAATTTCCTCTTAACTTGCATTTTTGCTTGTAAAACCTCAAAGTCCAGTAGTGCTTTACCTCTTGAATATGTTTGACACTGCAATTAATGTTTAAGATGCCCCCTCAGCACTCCCTGAAAGACGATTGGTTCATGTATTATTTGGGCTGGAAAATAAAACAGTAACAATAATTATCACAATATAATCTTTTTTCTGTAACAATATAACAAATGTTTGATTTTATTCACCTAAATCATACACAAATTACAGGATTTTTTTTAAATTAAGATGTTAATTTGTTGAAGAAAAAGGACTGAAAAAAGCTTTTACTTAATTTTACTCATGCATATTTGTTGACAAAGATTTCATTATAATTGTTTTGAATGTTATACCTCAGATTTGTGAAGTGATCGACTGTTTGGCATCAAGTGTTGACCATAAAGAGTTTAAACTACAATTAACCATCAGGTTTTTTCAACTTTCACTCAGGAGCAAAAATCAGCCTGTAAACTTGAAAGAAGTAACGATTTGACACTTATAGTGATAGTTATCGATATCGAAAGATATGAAACATTTTATCGTGGTAACATTTTTGGCCATATGGTCCAGCCGTATGTATTATTCTATATGATATAAATGGTAGATTATTGTCCACTGCATCATCATCTGCACAAAGTATTTTATGTAAGTACTTCAACCTAAGTTGGAATGATTTATCAGCTTAAAATCAACCAGTTCTTTGCTCTAATCCTGCTACTCCTGCTTTACAGAATCTAATTGAATAGAAAACGTAATTGTGTTTGAGTGTCCGCGTGTGATTGAATGACCTGTAATGAGGCGCGTCACGACCAAAGGAAAGTTTTTGCACATGATCTCCTGAACCGACATCATGTGGGTTGCAGGGGGAATTTAGCTGGATGGGGTTGGTTTCAGGATTGAGTCTGCATCACTCTTTTCAAGCCGTGTGACAAATACAGATAATAGTGTTAGGGTTTTAACTTGTACTTGAAGCTTTCTTTGATGCAAATTAAAAAATTCAACTTCCCTCCACATCTTCTGATATAAATCTGAGCGCCCCAATGACTTCATCAACACTTACCAGTGCGTTTAACTTGTGCTGGGTCTAAGAATACAATCAAGCAGGATTTTGCTGGTTGATCTATTTAGTTTTATTTATGTTGGTTTACTGGTTGGAGGGAAAAGAAAATAGCCACCTACCCAGAGAAGGTGAGATACAGACACAGGAAGGCACCAACAGCTTTGTGAGAGTAACGGCTTCCTGCAGTATTGTGACCTTCAACCAGGTGAAGAAAGTTTGTCAAGAGACGGTGAATATGACTTTTTAGCTGTTAACTACACATTATGAGGCAACGTGATGAACTGTATTTCATACACAATACCATAAAATGTTTCATACCTCCTTAACGCTTAAGGGCAAGTTACTTGGCAAACCTGAAACTACCCTTTTAATCATAATTTAATATGAACCACATTCCATTGCCTCGAAGGTGAGAGCACATTGATGTTACACTAAAGACAGAGCTAAGGTAGCAAATAAATTCCTGGACGTAACTGTAGTGAAATAACCTGGTAGTGTCTTTTCACATGAACCAAAAACAGTGATGTGAGTCAGACACAAAGATGTTAGGTATGTTAAGTATAGGAATCTGCACAAGCAGGGCAAGACCAGTTGTGGTTTTGGTTGTACTTTGAAACATTCCCCGCTCAACGTTAGGCATTTGTCTACATTTAACATGAAAACCATAAGGCATCACCAAGCCAGTGTTTTTACAATTCAAAGCCAACACAATGAATTCTTGTGTAGTGCTGGACCTGAGTCAGTAAGTGCACCCTCTGTACTGGAGCTGAGGTTTGTGGCTGCTGCTAAATGCTAGCAGCTGTCTGCTGGACTTCCTGCTTGTCCCTACGTTGATGTTTGTGGGTGTTTGGGCTCTAACGTAATTGGGGGGGACACAGGACTCCTCTCTTGCAGCGTCTCATCTAGTGTGACCTTCCTTTTCCCCGCCTACACTGAGGCAGCAGAGATCTGTTAGCAGGTCAGCTCTCTACCTTCATTCTTAACTCTCATTTAGACGTGGTTATGTCCACCTGTACTGCTCGCCATCTGCCTAATGTACATACTCTCCCTCTACAGTTTCCCCTCCAGTTTTCTCTAACATCCATGTGGCATACAAAGCTTCCCTTATTCCTCCATCTTTCCATCTCTCCCCTGCCTGTTTTTACACCCATCTGTAAAAACCACAAAATACATACAGATTCTGGTTGGAAAAATAAACACCATTCCTGTGTCTAGCTCTCGCTCCCTGACTCATCTCATCTTGTGTATACAGGCCAAGAGCCGAAAGAGGTCCACTGTAGATTCTTAACAAGTACAGGACGCACCTAGCTACACTCTGTACTCAGCCATTTGGTAATAATTTGGGAACCATGGAGAGACGTAAGAGTAACTAACAATAAATGTGGCATTGCCTAGTTGAAATATTTTACCAGAAGGAAATGAGTAGAAAGAGATTTTAAGGTCTAACAAATATTGAATTCAAAGGTTAATTGACATTCTTTTGATTTTGATATGATCTTATCCGTGTTTACCCAGTTATCAGTTTTATAACACAATCTTGTTCAGTTGTACTCAGATTTGATTGCTTTTCAATTCACCTTGTTTACAGTGAGCTACTGTTAATGTAGGAACACATTTTCAGTCCTTTGCATTGCTTGGAGATATTTTCCAGAATTTATTACAACTATTGGTCATTCATATTGGTTTAAACATGAGGAGACCTTTTATCTTCTGTTTTGATGCAGCGTGTATGGGCGCTTTAAACCGCTCTGCTAAGTTGCAATAGCCTCTTACTTTGCATTTTGTTTATGTCTTTCAGTGATTTCCTGATTTTACCTGGCTTTATCGACTTTACCTCAGATGAAGTGGTGAGTACGTATATGTGTGACAGACATATTTGAGAGTACACAAGGTCATGCAGGGTCTGTGTATGCAGTGTTTCAGGAGATTGTTGCAAGTAACTGTCACAACTGGATATTTTCAAGGACAAGCCAATCATTGCTACAGTTTCTTCAACACCCCCTCATGATGATTAACGTACAACTAAGCAGTGTCAGCAGACTGTTCTTTGCAGAGCCACTTTGTAAACCATCAGCCTTATTACTTTTTTTTCACTCCAGACCTCAACCTCCATTTTATAGTCTTGGCTTTTACAAAAAGTCTTGGGTTTTTTTGCCCATTTAAAACCGTCTGCATCATTTCTTCTCTCTCTGCCGCCTCGCTATTTTTACCCATTGTGGTCACCCACTGGCTGCTCCCTCACTCTTGTGTTTACATTTGTGTCTGGTCGGTTGCTCATGCACCCCTCTCAGCAGCTGACAGGAGAGTTAATCTCCGGGCTTTAGATGAAATCCCTCTTCTCTGCTTCGTCCATCTGAGAAGGCTTTAATTTAATTGATATCTCTTATCTCTCCGTGTTGCCTTCAGATTTAAAGAATGCTCTTGTTGCTGTGTGAGATGCTTGGCTGCCTCGCCACGTTGTCATGGGTTAGTTGTCTCCACAGAGTCTTGGTCTCGCCATAGTTTTTCCACTGGATACTGGGCCTATTCAAGCTTGAATAACACAAATGCTTCCACATTTGGCCTCAGTCACAACTGTGAATGCAGTAGTTCACACAGTGACTCAGTAAATCGGACTCAAATTTGTAATATATGTTCTGGCTTTTGTGCAATCCATTAGAAACATGAAGAGGGGCCACAGTGCGTAGAACAGTTGTGGGAAATTCAGGCTTGTGATGTTGTTGACGTTCTTTCCCAACTCTCAGTTGAATTTAGCAGGTTAGTGCAGTTGTGCTGCCTAAATTGAGAAGTGGTGTTGATTACTTTTACCTTCACCGTGAACCGCTGAGAAAAGCCTCCCAAGTTTATGTCTGTCTCAGATAAGGAGGAAAATCTTGGACACCATAGAACTCATTTGCTGGTTTCCCATGTGTGTGGAATGTCATTATTTTCAGACACACACAGCTGAAGATAACAAAATCTGGTGCTGGCTGTTGTGGGAATCCGTAAGCTTTGACAGTTGAATGTGGCTGTTGTACTACAGCCACATACAGCCTGTGTATAATGTAAATATACAGTAGTGGGGCTCATTTCCATATTTCCACACCATGTTAGATTTCTGTCCCTGAGAGGAGGCACTGTGTTTTTGGTATCCATACATTTTTTTTGTTTGCAGACCTCTCATATCACAGAAGGACACTTGTATAATCTTTTTGGAAGTCTACTGAAATTGGCCCCATTGGCCTGTAGTCTTTTGTGTCAATGCAACATGTGCAGTGGATTGCATGTGCCAGGTTTAATCTGCCCCCTGGTGGTTCATGTGCAAAATTCCCTCCTTTTTTTTTTTTTTTTTCTCTCTCAGGACCTGACCTCAGCGTTGACCAGGAAGATCACATTGAAGACCCCTCTCATCTCCTCCCCCATGGACACTGTCACAGAGTCAGCCATGGCGATTGCTATGGCGGTAAGACACTGCTTTTACAAAACGGCTGGAATATTGAGAGAGAGAGAGAGAGCGCATTGATTTCTTGATTCTTAGATACGCAATGTTATTCCTTTTTTTTTTATTTATTTTTAATTTGGCAGCTAATGGGAGGTATTGGCATCATTCACCACAACTGCACACCAGAATTCCAAGCCAATGAGGTCCGCAAGGTCAAGGTAAACTATGATCATCCTTCATTATGTACAGGAGTTTGTATTTTATCTTAAACTGTCTCAGCATTTTTTAGTTAAGTCAAATGTTCACTTATCGTGTTTGGTTTTAGTAGCTTTAGTAGAATAATGTATTGTTTTAGTAGTCTTGTTGTAGTCATCACCATTTCCCACTTACATGCTCATACACACCAAAAAGGACTAAAGAAGTAACCATAACCAACTCAACTCTCACATGAATCATACCCTTGACCTTTCTTGTTCTCTTGTCCCTATATAGGTTATGGTAATTGTACTCCATCGTGTGTTTGTGTTTGTTTGGTTGTATTTGTTTTGGCATTTCATTTATTTATTTATGGTTGTATGTCCTGTGAGTTGTGTTTGGTTTTGCGCTACCTTTTCTGCTTTGCACACATTAAGATAAATAAACAACAATAATATTAATGAAGTTTGGTTTCTCTTGGTTTCCAGAGGTTTGAGCAGGGATTTATCACTGACCCAGTTGTGATGAGTCCTCGCCACACAGTTGGGGATGTGTTTGAGGCCAAAGTAAGACATGGCTTCTCTGGTATTCCTGTCACAGAGACGGGCAAAATGGGCAGCAAACTGGTGGGCATCGTCACCTCCAGAGATATCGACTTCCTTTCTGAAAAAGACCACGGCAGACCTCTGGAGGAGGTATGTACAGTTTTCAGAAACTGTATGTCAGTCAGTTAAAGTTTGTCACATATTTTATTATTTTGATTTTGAAATTATGTTGGTTGTATCTAAGGCCATGACAAAGAGGGAGGAGTTGGTTGTGGCTCCAGCAGGTGTCACTCTGAAAGAAGCCAATGATATTCTGCAGCGCAGTAAAAAAGGTGAATAAAAGCTCATGTGTGACAGCGGCTTTTTTTTTCTCTAGTTCTATTTTGGTTTCTCAGATAATTCGATAACCTCACTTTCTCTGTAACCAGGCAAGCTTCCCATTGTAAATAATAACGACGAGCTGGTGGCCATCATTGCCAGGACCGATCTGAAGAAGAACAGGGACTACCCACTGGCCTCCAAAGACTCGCGCAAACAGCTGCTGTGTGGCGCCGCCGTCGGCACCAGGGAGGATGACAAATACAGACTGGATCTGTTAGTGCAGGCTGGGGTGGATGTTGTCGTACTGGTGGGTGGTGTTGATGGTTAAATTGTG